CACACACACACACACTCACACACACACACACACCCACACCCACACGCACACGCACACGCACACGCACACACACACACACACCTGCATGTTCGCAAAAACATAAATATTGCCCCCCCTTTACTAAAAGGGCATCCCTCCAAGACACTTTTTGTTTCAGGTGCCACAGGTACCCTCCCGATGAAGATCCAACTCAGCGACTCGGCCGCAAACATCGCGCCTGCATGGTGGGAAGCCCAGGCACCCGCAGCACGCAGTGCAGGAAGCACGAGGCCAGGCTCACGGCCTCAGACGCCACGCCGCCGATTTGTTATTTTTCCCCGGTGGAAATAGAGCAAATGGCAGGTGGGTGCGTGTGGAGATCGGTTTTTTACCGGTGGAAACAGAGCAAGCGGCCACATTTGACCATCCAGAAATCCGTGTCTCAGATGCCCACGGACTTCCATGGGCAAAACAAGGCATCCGATGGTTCTTGGTTGAATTAAAAACAACCAAGAAAGGGCGCCACTGGGCAAGTGGGATGTATACATAGAATGAAGGTATCGTTGTGTGTGTATCGTGATGAAAACATATATACATATGTGGTTGAAAAAACACGCATGCATCCATATAATTTAATATATATAATACACATTACAGAGAGAGAGAGAGAGAGATACTGCCCCCCGCAAAAGGTTGACTGTTTGGTGGTTGCAGGGAAGATGGGGAAAACCAAAAGACAACAGTGTTGAAAAGGTAAGCTAAGGTCTGGCAATGTATATTCGTACAGAAAGAGGCCCATACGGTTTCAAACTCGGGCTAATAAGGGTTGGACAGTTGTTTTGTTTTCCTGTGCACAAAGGGTTCTATTGCTTGCACATGCCTGCGTAACATTGCACTGCATATGTCGATGCTCAATGCATCTCTTATCACGTTTCAAGGGACGCTGATCAGATGTTTTCATGCTGTTTATCCAAGGTGGTTTCCAGTACCCCAAACCACTACCCCCATGGGAAATCGGTGTGTGTATATATATATATACACACACACACGTAGCCCTGATGTAGTGGCTAACAAGTGATTGTACATCCCATTCAACCCCTGCAAACCGTGGTTTTGGGGGCAGTGGAAAACCATCTTAGACAACTTGCCCCCACCTTTCAACCGCCAGAAGCGAATTCGCGACAAGTCGTTCTTCGGGGCCCTGGCTGTCATGGTGAGCAAGGGGTGCTGGATACGCTCCAAGACCCGGGAGTGGGGGATTCCGAGGATGGTCTCCAGCCTGGGTCGGAACAAAAAGAAGGTACCCCCGTTGGTTTGAACGTAACAACACCAACGTGACAACACCATGTGCCCCAAACCATACACTTATTGGGCTTGGTTCCCACTAGTTTCGCATACCTATGTCCCTTGTTTATTTGGTGGAGCCTGTGTTCTCAGGTAAGCCTTAGTTGGTGAGTAGGGGCCCGGGTGACTTGGGAGGTGGTTGGATCCTACGACTATTCAGGCTTACAAACGCAGGTAACCCTTTGGTGATTTTGGGTTGGCGGTTTGGATGATTTGAAGCTCTGGTTCCTGCAAAGGGTAAAAGGGGTTTCCCACACCGGAACACCAAACCACCGGGCTCCAAACCAATTAGAAGGAAGCCGAGCCAAAGTGGTTCCCGGAATGAACTGTTGACTTAGGGACACCTACCCAACAGGTGAATTGAAGCTTGGGCGGCGCTCCAACGGATCAACAAAAATCCCCAGCAAGCCAACCATCAGTTCGATGGCCCGGCATTCCATGAAAGGTGAGGTTGGGTTTTCAAGACACAAACTCTGGTAGCAAAATGTTCTATCCACATCCATGTTTCAGGAAACAGCAATCCGAATCTCTGCCATCTCTGGCCGAAACACTGCCCCTTCTTTTTTTGGGGGGGGGGGGGGGAGGGGGGGGGGAAAAAACAAAAGTAAAAAAAAAAGAGAAATAATAAAAAAAAAAAAAAAATTAAATAAAAAACGAAACACTGCCCCTTCTTTTTTTGTCTGTGTTTAACGCCTTCATCTGCCCAGAAACCGATCTGGGGCAAGAGCGGCCGTCATGTGCCACCTTCATCCCCTTCGGCCACCGACTTCCCGCCGGGCCCCGACTTCCCTCCGGCGACGTTTTTCTAGCGACTTCCAGCAAGGGGCCAGTCCGCGGAGTTCAGGCGCTTCCCCGGCCTCAGGTACCTGAAGTTTTCCGGGCCGAGCTCCGAGAAACCGGCGGAGCTGTTGGGCGTCGAGCGGAGCTTTTGGAGCAGAGGTTGGCGGGTTTTGGTGGTTTTGGTGGTGGTTTTGGTGGTGGCTTAGAGCCGAGATTCGGTGGTTGGGTGTTCCGTGTGGGACGCTTGCCCTCTAAGCCAGGGGTTCAAATCCCCAAACCACCAACCCAACCAACCATCCAAGCCAGAGGTTACCTTAACTTAAGGTTTGGTCGTTGAGTACTATAAAGTGGTTTCCCATGTACCCTCTAAAACCAACGGTTAAAATCCAAACCAATCTGAACCAATTGAGGTTTGCCTGAAAATGCCCGTCTTCAGATTTCCAGGGATGGTTCCAAGGATTTCTGTGACACTTCAGAGTTAAACTTTGAGGTTGGCTTTGAGGGACACCAAAAGGAACACCACTAGTTGTGGGGTATTTTGACACAAACCCACTTATTCTCCCAGAACAAAAGGGGTTCCAAAAACCACTCAACATGGCCACTCTCTTGTCGGCTCGTTGGGAAGGTGGAAGGAGGCTCCTACCTTTGACAACCCTCCAACCAGGTTGGCCATTTACAGCAAGGATAGATCCTATCCCCTTCAGGTTACCATTAAAAACCATCTGTTTTGCTGGATCCCCATTCAAACGTCGAGTTGGCCAAGCAACCAATTCGACGAGCAACAACTTCGACCTGCCGGCCGAAGAACCAAGATCCGCAAAAATTGACCTTTCGACCACCTTTCCAAGGGAACGTCTTGACGACAACCTGCCTGCCATTTAGACCCAACTGGAGACAGAATCAAAGCCCTGTTGAGTATAGTTTAGAACTGTGTACATTTAAAGGGCAGCCGCACCCATGGATGTATGGCAACGGAATTGTCCTTTAGCCTCCAATTACCCGGAAATTGATTGTGACTCACTTCTTCTTGCTGAAGTCTTTGGGCTGGAGACTCTCGAATCGCCATGCCCAAAGGGGAGCAACCTGTTTTCGCTTGCCATCTCACCATAACCTTTGGGAGCACCTTTGGTGGCTGGTTTCCCACACAATCCCAAATAAGCCATTTCCTGCAAAATCGCTAATCAGTCCAGAAACTCACCGTTCATACCAGGGGTTCATATATTTATGTTGCAGGATTCTACATGCCTTCGATTGACCTGATTTGAAACGAATCTAGTCCTATGCTTCATGCTACACATGGTTGAATCTGAACCTATATGATGAATTGCAGTACCCTCTTTCCGACCATCATGGAAGACGATCGAAAAGGAAAGCTTTCGTCTCCCAAAACCGATCGTCAGCTTCCATGATGGTTGGAGGGTAAGTTTCCTTTTGCTTTACCTTCAAAGGCCAGTTGATTGGCTGGAGAATCGGATTTGGGGCAAGTCTTGCTGCGTGGCAGGCCACTTGCCTGTACAGCTATATAGGAGAGATTAGGCCACCCCTGTTTGATTCTTGTTGCTTTGTGCCTTACTGATTTGTGCCTTAAGGGGACACCGGGACCTCATCTTCTGAGCTTTCAAGTTTCACCTCACTCGCTGCCCCAAACCCAGCGCGATTAGCGAGTGGTTCGCGGTCGGGCGCACTGCAGGTATTCTGCCGGCAAAGTGGGGCGCTTGGGCCTCACCGCTTCGCGCACATCGCCGCTCGCGTTCCCCGCGGGTCCAAGGCGGCAGGGAAATTCTTCGCCCGAGAAGGAAACTGTAAGTGTGTCTTTTTTTAGGTTGGACCCCCAAAGAAACTGGGGCGCCCTGAACAAAAACGAGCCGGCCCTCTCAGCAGCGTTCTCAAAACTGGGGGCACCATAGCAGACTCACATTTTCAGGCACTAGGCGTGCCGAGAGCCACCAACTGCATGTTCGAAGGGCTGACCTTGGATGCTTAAAAAGACCTGAGCTCCGGGCAAATTCCATGCAGGGTTGTTTGTTTTCCTATATGAAGACCAATTGGTTAAGGGAAATGCCCTCACAATGTATAGAAGACATTAGAGGACCCAACAATCTTTCAGGTGTTTGAAACTCGTTAGCATTTGAGGAACAGTTTCCAGGACATCTTGAATCCTGGCGGCAGCCAGCTAGTGATGTCTAGTGAACAAGGGGGGTGACCTACTGCCAAGGGGGAGTAAGCCATTGGTCTTTCTGCAAGAGAGTTGAACTCAGCCCCATGTGCGAATTGCAGTGTGACCCTCCGGTGGACATTTGTTATTGGATTTGGAGGTAGTCCTCATGAAATTCATAGTCACAGCTCTTCCAAGACAACTTTTGGGCTTGAAGAACACCTACTCGACCTAGCTAGCAATCTGATCGCTTCCTGCTCAGGGCATCTTGGTCGAAACATGCAGCATAGACATGTCACTGCATTTCATCGGCTTTTACCCACAAAACCAGCTCGCCCCCAGGACCCTCCAAAAAGGCCGCCAAAAAAAATCGCGAGCAGGGGAGTGGTACATCTGGAATCCAACTTACCCTTCGCAACATACTGTGGATGGACAAAATCCGATCGCACCACCTAAGAAACCATGACAAAGCATTGTTTGTTGGTATTTACAGGGGAAGAATCATGTTTAGGTTCTTTAGGTGGTGCAGGATTTTGTCCATCCACAGTAGTGCAGCTTTCGCTTTCCATAGGTTTCGAAGACAAGCCTCAGGGCATGCGGCTCGACTCTGAGGGGCAAGCTTCTCACGATACGAAGAGCTCTTCGAACTTGCTTCTTTGGCCTCTCGGTCATGGGTGCTGTGCACGCTTGGCGAGTGGCATCTTGGGATGCAACTCCAACCAAGCCAGGGTTCTGCAGCCAAGCAACAACAACCAATGCATGCGTCTTTGAACATGAGGAGCATTTGGGTTGCTGGTAAAACATGAAGGGAAGCCAAGGCCGATGGGTCCTCGAATTCAATGTGACCCCCCTCTACAACCCCCAGGGAAAAAAAACAAAGAGAAAAAAGCCCTGGCTCAACATTCTGCGACCCTGGGCTCCTAGCTAATGACCCCACATCTCTTCCAAAACAGGATGCTCACCCCCAATCAACCTCAGGGATGCACAAAATCCGCAATCTTCTCTGACCAAACCTGGCAACCTCCACCGAAGGCGCATATCTCAATCCAACCGAAGCCGCCCCCCCCCCCCGGCCGCCGCCCGCTCTGTGCCTCGTCGCGCAACGCGGCGTGTGCGTCTCTGAGCGGCACTGCGGTCTGCAAACCTCCGCGGGAGGTTCGCGCAAACCTGTTAAAGGGCGAAGGCTAGACAACTTGCATGACATCATTTGGGTGCGGGTCAAAAATAGGTACCCAAAATGGAACCCAGGTAAATGGAAACATGGACCAAAACCTGCGGTCCCCTGGTGGCTTAATTTTGACCCATACCCATTTGGGCGCCAACTCAGTCCAAGCTCAAGCCCTCAGTTGGTGGCTGGTCAAAAGCTCTCCGAGAGCCAAAGTGATTCGTGTGGAACAAAACAACACATGCGCTTCAGAAAGAGGGCTTCCAAGTGGTTGGATCCTTCGCGCTTCCAAGAAAAGCTTGGTCTTGACATATTATGTGCAGGCAAGCAGCCGCTAGGAGTTTCGCGCACGGAGCCTGCCGGCGAATCCAAAGCATTTGAGCGCACAAATGTTCTTCGAAGCAAGGGGCCTGGCCCTACACGTCTTCCTCCAAGACACAAAAGACTCCCGCATCTGCCTGATTGAGAAGCCCTTGCCTAGCCTGTTGCTCTTTTGCTTTGGTTCTGCTCGCAGCGCTGGAAAGCGCAGGGGATTTTTTCTACGGCGCCTTCAAGGCGCAAAAGAGTCCAGAGGGCTGCCGAGTCTTGGTGCAACCGCCCTTCACCGAGTAGTAGGGAATGACCCAGCGACTCATGGTGTTGGGAATGACCCGTTTGGGATTCCATTAAAAAAAAGAAACGATATAGGGCATGCTTTCAATCGGGGTCATTCCATTAAAGGAAGCCATAGGGCATCGTTTTTCTTGGGGGCACTCCGTTTCTCATTCCCTGCCCATCAAAACGGCGAGTCACTGGAAGCCATCGACAAGTTGCCGAATGGATCCAAAGCTTCACGCCTGGACATGGGGCAGCAAGACTTTTTCTGCCAGCCAAGGAGTATGGACCCTTTTGGGACCTGCCGCCTAGATACGTGCCGCCGATATGAACCTTGTGGCCAGCGCGTGGGATTGCAACTTACACATTCGCGGCTGGTGGCAAGGACTCAGCTGATGTCAGCTCCATCCGCACGTGCGTTGGCGACCAACAAGCGAGGATCTTGCTTTTAACTGGTTGGCTTCTGCTGGTTCTCATTCAAAGCATCCAACAGCCCCCCCACTTTTAGCACATGGATAGGACATCCACATCCCCATGGAGACCGCGCCTTGCCCACAGGAGGTTCGAGATCGCGGGGACTTGGAAATCACCAGGAAGCCCTGGCCGTTTCTTGAGAACTCGGCGGCTTTGGAGGCGAATCTTCGCAGAAGTTCTAGGGGTACCTTCCCTATTCTTTCGAACCGGTTCCGGCCGTTTGCCGATCAGAAGTGGTTTTTCGGCCCGCACCTGCTTTGAAACAGTCCTTTAAGGCCCCAGAAGATCCTTCTTTCTAGAAAACCGCCGGAAACCGAGCGAAAACGGATCCGGTTTTGGAAAGAACGATGCTTGAAAAGAATGGACAAGGAATCAACCCCTAGTGAGCTCCTCACTTAAGCTCAAAGGACCCGAAACCAAAAGGCTAACCTAGGGCCATGACGAAACATGGACCAAAAAGGGAAAACCAAAGGTCAAATTCAACAACTGAGGTTTTAGTGGGTCCTGAAAATGGGCGGACGGGCATTCATGTCCAACCACTCTTGAGGCTCTTCTTATTGAACATTGTGGCCACATACACATTTCGAATTCTGTGTTTATCCTGCATAAACTCGCATTTTAAGACAGCATGGTGTTTAAGGTTGATGTGGAGAGGGGTCTATTTGGCTTCCACAGGGAACAACATTGTGGAGTCGGGAAAGGTCGAACTTGCCCAACTTGCTTTTCTCGTTGACTAAAGTCCCCCATTGTCCCAAACTAAACGTAATCTCATTCTCACCCGAAGCAATCAGGCACAAGTCCTTGCTGCTCTGGCTCCCGAATTGCCCCGAAACATCTCTGTTCACATCGTTTACCTCCCTCCCGTGTCCCTCAAATTGGGCCAGAGCCACTGCCGCAAGCCACGTCCATTCGGCTTGCGCGAGTCCTGAAAGACCGAGGCCTGCGCGCGCGCGCGCGAAGAGAGGCGGAGGCGGTCAGGTTCCATGAAAAAACGGGAGGGTTTTTGGTCGGGCCATCCTGGTAGATCCTTGTGAACACCTCTTGCGAGCCTTTCCTTGGCCGGAGTCTGGTCCAGGTCCTCAGTTCAACCCTCGTGCCCGCGATGAGCTTCTTGCCGTCGGTTGGTTTTTGTTTTGGACCGTCCCCGGGAATTAAACCTGTCCAGCCACGGGTTTGAAGTGTTGGGTTGAAGCAACTGAAGCAACTCGCGCCAAGATGGCCTACGGCAAGTGTCCCGGAATCCTAAACATGTCCGTGCCATCCGGCGCTAGGAAGTAAGAAAACATGTTGATAGAAGATACACGGCAAGCATCAAACCAAAAAGCAGCCGTCGAACCCTGGAGGTGTTGAGATGTTGATTACTGCCCCAGAGCAAGCGCAGCCAGCCCACCATTCAGGCCAGCTTCAAGTAGACCAGCCAATTTTACCATGGATCGAGCCCCCCCCCAAAAGAAATGGATCAAGGTCTCAGCTCCAAAGAGTAAGCCTAGTCCGTGATTGTCAATTCAGCTGTTCCGCCTGAACAAAGGCCCCAGTTCTAGTCCAACTGAGGGCGGTTGCAATAGATCTGGTTGGCTTCTCCTTTCTGACAAATTTTGGGGAAAACGGGCCAACACGGCCAAAACAAAGGTTGCAAAGGGCTGGCCAACTCTGGCCCTCGCATTGTCTCTCCAATGGAAACCAAGAACGGTGAGTCCTCCAGAGGTGACTCTCCCCGCGCCCGATTCTCCCATGGGCCTGGACCGTCGCTTCGATGGCGCCATTGAGGGACCCTGACCACCGATGTTTCGATAGTTGAAGCTGGGGGAAAAATCGGAAACCTGCCGCAATTTTAGACTGGTGCTGCCAAATCTGCGGATGAAGACTTTAGACTGCCAAATCTGTGGCGATGAAAATCCAAGTCTGCAATTTTACCAAAGCTTCGCTGACTAGATCCTGGAGTGGATCCATCGGCTTGTATACTGGCTTGTGCTGAAACTGGTCAATCTCGCTTAAGGCCGTGGCCATCGGGCATGCACAAAAAAAAAACAAAGCCCAAAGGTCAGGAATCCTTCAAGGAACCAAGGAGCCAATTGTGAAACTTTCGTGAAAGGCTGGTACAAGGGGTGCCTAGTGTGGCGTACCCAACCCGTGTTTCTTTGTAAGTGAAAGCGATCGCGAATATGGGTACAGCTTATCGTGAATATGGGCGCTTCCTGTTTTCTCAGAACATGGTCAGCGGAGCCCGTCTCAAAATTGTGAGCCCCTCTTTGGATGGCTCCAAAAGGAGCCACAAGGAACCCACCTGGAGGGGTCCGCAATTGAGACAAACACCCAGAGCGTCTGTCAGGACGACACCTACAGTGCCCCCTGCTCATGAATGCTCAAGATCATAGGTCTCCTTTTGGGAAATAGATGGCCTTAACCACCAGGTAAACCAGGAATCACCATTTCTTTTAAACCAAAACAGCCAAAAAGGACACCTATGATCAAGATGAGGTGCCATGGAGTCCAGGCATCCAAACAAGTCTGGTGCCAATGCCCGGCCTTGGATCCAGTCCTAGCTTGGTTGACGTTGGGAGGGGAGCAAAAAAGTGAAAATTCTAGCGGTTAAGTGGTTGGATTTCAACCACTAAACCACCATAAGCAAAAATGTAACATGTTTCCCAACAACAGCCAGGACAGGGCCCTGTGGTGCCCTTGAACAAAGATTAGAAGCATCCGTGTGACTTGGGTATCATTGGACCTGATGACAAACGCTCCCTTCCATCTCACTGGTCATCCACAAAGCCAGTCCACATGAGATAACAATATGCACAACACACATGGGCCTTCTGTGCTTTAGCTCTGCAGTCGGAGTCGATGGTTAGAATTCATGCAATCGCCCGTGTCGAACCCTGGTTTCCTGCTTGCCCCCGAACCATAAATGCCGGGGGTTCAAAAATCGGGCCAGCAAAAATACCGTAGCTTTCACAACGTAGAGTTCAAGAAAGTCTGTCGCACAACGGAGTAACCGGCCTTGGTAGCTGTACTGGTGGGACCTCAGACTCACTGCGCTTCCCGATTGGGGTTGGTATCGAGACATTGGATAAAACCTATAGTTGAAACATGATCTTGCTTCGACATGCCCAATTGACCCTGCTCTTGATGTGATCTTACTCAGAGCTCGCATCATGCCAACCACAGTCAATCTTCATCGTCCCCTGTCTTGACATTGGAACTCTTTTCCTCCACCTCTAGACGGTGCTTGAGTGTACCTCATGTTGTTTCCTTCACAACCGTTGATGACAATGATGACCGGCGACATCGTGAATCCCATCTATCAATGAGTTCTTGGAGTGCCAAGAGTGCCAAGAGTGCCCGGAACCAGGGTGCTCTGTTCCATGGGTGAACCAAGACTTGCCCAGTAGCAAAAGGCAAAGCAGGCAAAGGGTGCCTAGTGTAAAGGCCTCACGTCTCAGTGACCTGTGGTCTTTGGTTGCCATCCGCTATAGGTCCTGGCCCCGCAAGTGCTTCATTGCGTGCTTCATTGCGTGCTTTCTCCCCACTCCCCTGAGTTGTCCTTTCTTAAGTCAATTAAAAAAAGGTAAATGCCACCGGGGCACAAACAATGTGCTCCGCCATTGATCCTGCATTGACATGCAGCATCTTGAAGGCGCTCACCCACAGCAACATTGAGATAGCCGGGACCTATCTGTGCACAGCCAAAGCCTACATCCCGGTTCGTCATGGCTGGGATCTTCGCCTCTTGGAGGCTCCTGCTCCTCACTATCTTACCCGAGAGAGGGGACCTGTGTCAACGCCAGGACGCCTTTTTGGTGGATGGTGCCATTACACCAACCAACCCAGTTGGAGGTTGCGAGACCTTTCGACACATTGCAGCTCGACTTGATGTAATGAAACGGAGGCCGAAACGCGAGTGCGTGTGCTTAGTTCTGAGCCGTGGGTATTGCAAAGGCGCCATGACGAAGCATCTGGAGTTTCGTCGGCAGTGGCTACACTCCGGTCGCATCGCCAAAAGTTTGAGGCGCGGCTCGGTGGAGAACGTGCTTGACTTGTTTAAGGTGAACAGTGAGCTCCTTATTCAAGCGATTAACCCTCTGTCAAGCCGATAGAAGGAATATTACGTTCCGGCGGTACGTTTGCACTTTGACAGATTCCAAGCAGTGTTGATCAATGCGAGTGTTCAAAGCCGATTGTAGTTCGCAAAGGTGCTGACACGGATGTCAATATTCAAGACTGCTTGCTGCTGAACTGCCAGATACTGCCATTGAGAGGCCTTCTAGAGTTCATGCACGTTGCATACGTGGCTCATGTAAAATATCACGAGCCTCCTGCGTGGCTTTATGCTGCCTAATTGCACATGCAAGCTGTGTGCGGCGTGTCGCAGGTGCCACGGCCGGCGGAGCGTGGCGCCCATGTGCTCAAAACCCGAGTAGATGAAGGTTAGAAAGGGATAATCCCAACCAAAAATGGGTGCTGCCAGGTGATTTTCTTTAGATTCTGGGTGCACCATTTTAGTGCCAGGTTTTGATTTGACTCATGTTAACTTTTGACAATTCGACTGCTTGGCCTTTGGAACCGACAGCTTGACCAAACGAACGGACAAGAAGTGGATCCCACTGAACCATCGGCGACAACGACAAGCTGCCGCACCGCAATGTGCTGCCCTGACGGCTGGCTGGTTGGACCTCCAAGCTTGCAAATCCCTATTGCCATGCGTCTCATTACTTACAGAGAGAGCCTTTGTGCGCAACACTGCTGACGGCTGATCTTGAATCTTTGCACATTCTGCGCATGCCATTTTGCTCCGATGCCACTACTCACATACTTTGAGCGCAAACCTGTGCTTGCACAGGGCTGCACGCATGCAAATTACACTCCCCATAAAGGTCTTCATGACTAAATGTGCGTGTTGAGTCAGCTATCACTACCAAAACAAACCCATCGTCGAGTTGCAAACGACGCGTCCAGCTCGAGGCGATCGGACGCGTCACCCATCAATGCTGTCTTCTGTGAGCCGCTGGTAACACCAGAGCGACAAAGGTAGATTAGGCACAGTATATAGTTGTTTTCTCTTTATTCATGTATATATGTATATGTATACTAGGTACACGTTTATGCTGCTCTCTCCCACGCACACAGGGGGTCTTGTGAGTGTGCAGCTCTTATCTGCTACACCCGGACCCTTTCCCGGGCAAGCGTTGATCTTCAAGCCAAGGCAGGGTGTGGCCTTAGCTCTGAATTGTATGCGCTAAGACTGTGTGCAAATGCCTGTTTCAATCCTCACTTGGCCAGTACTAGCCCAAAAAGAGTACACTTTTTGGGCCACCACTAAAATAAAGGGAGAGCCACCAAGGGAAAAAGTGTAAAGTGTGTGAGAATCACCTGAGGGTAGATCAAAACCCACTCTTCAAATGGTCGTATTCCCAGAACCATGTTTCAAGAATTGAAAAGGCGGATATCCTTTCACCCATCTGAGGAGATTGTCCCTGACCACTTTCCCAGGCTTTCCCAGGCTTTGAGCAAGTGACTCTGCCCGGGTCAGGGTGTGAAACATCTCGCGCCCTTTGCATTTGCACGGCGCGGATCGAAGTTCTCTTTGCAAAACCCGTGGCATCCCGGTTTCAGCGCCATCAGAGCGCCTCCGCTTGCCAAGAACTTGGTGCGACTTGACTTCCTAGCATCCCATTTATAGAGGGCCCCTAGTTGCTAGAACAATCTCAAACTGTATCGCAACAAAGAACCACTTGTTGAAATGAAGCCATCGCTACTCGCAGCACACAAGAGCAACTCGGCAAACGAATCATCGTGCCCGTACCCAACAAAACATTCTAATTTGTCATTGGTGACCCACCATTTCCTAGTGGTGATTTGGCCCAGTGTGCCCCCCAAGTCATTCACTTTCAATATCGTAAATGACAATGAGCATGAACCGCTGCTCGCACGAAACTCATCAAAGTGACCTGGCAGCTATTCACAGCACCGGAAACAACCGCAAACCCTCGGCTAGCATCAACTGAAGTTGCCTAACTGCCAGCCAACAGCACGGACGCGTCTCGAGTGGCTTGAATCAAGGCCCGGAACAAAACAGAAATGCCATTCCTCCAAACGCCAATGCTGTTCCAAACGGGAAAGGACGTGAAAGGACACAACGGCGGCCTCATGACTCTACCACTCCCGCCGGGATGCAAACCATTCACCGAACAGTCGACCGCCCGCCTACTTGGCGCGTTGGACTTTCATCTTCAGGACCTCCAGGCGTGCGGCCGATACCCCCCAGGTCCCACAACCTACTGATATTGGCTGCATGTTGGCTTATTCCCACAAACAAACAACCAGGATTAGCCTGTATGCATAAATACATACATACACACCATTGAACAAAAACAAGGTAATACAATGCAATGCAATGCAATACAATGCAATACAGAGATGCATGTATGTCAGAGCCAAGCTGTTGCCGGCATGGTCAAGGCGCGAATGGCCGACGCAGGCGCCCGGACCCGCTCGCTTCAGCTACCCGGAAGGGTTGATCAATTCCGGAAGGCTCTAGGACATGGTTTGGATGCGGTTGTGGATCCATTGTAGGAGAGCAAAAGAGTACTAAAAGAGTATTAAAAGAGGAACAACTCGCCAAAGAACATGGGGAAACCACAGAAAGCGCATCCAATCCGTTTGCTGGACCGCGAGCCTCAATCAATGACTGGCCTGAATAAGCCACCCGTAGAGCCACTCTAGCTGGCAGGAAACGCCAAGCCTCTGATGTTGGCAACTAGGTAAAACGTCTAGGATTCGCGGGACGTGAGCAACTGCCATTCAAATGGTATAGACAACCAAGGTTCCTCACTCTACAAGAGGATAGTCCTGGCTCAGGTGCAATTTGGTGCGGCAGCCTCTGATCCCGAACAATTGAACAATGTGAATTCTGCCATGGCTGTCCAGAATGTTGCCGACTCTGGCTCACTTCCTGAGTGGGTTGGCAAAAAAGATGCCCAAACTGTTTGTCTACCACAAAAAATGGTCCAAACTCAAAAGGTTGTTTAAAGTCCATGAACTCAGGAATTGAGCTGGTCAGCTTCTTGGGAAAGAAGTGATGCCCTCCCACCAATCAACATGGAACCTGACGTTCGGGGGGTCCTGGAAGACAGTTTTCCTGTGAAAGGGATCCCCGAATGTCAGGTTCCGTGGACAGCAGCGTATCCCTGGGACAATTCATTGAACGTTAATCCAGCTTCCCCAATGCAATTGCTTGAAGCTTAAGAAAACCAAAGAGTCAAGAAGGGGATTTTGGTGGGCAGGGAAGCTGTTGCGCAAGAAGCCAACTTGACAACCGACACACACACACACATGCATGTGTATCCAACAGTATACACACATACGTGTATATATAAATACATATGCTTTGTGCACACATACATGCATTTGCGTGTATCAGATGAGGTTTAAAGAGAACCCGATATGTGGCATCCGTGATTCACCTAATCATCGCCAACACCGGCCCCCTTTTGTTCCAGCTCCGGCTCCGGCCGCCTGGTCCCTCTGGCACTGCTCCACCAAACGAGGCACTTCCTCCCGGATGCCATTCACCTTCGGGTCGCTGGATCCGAAGAAAACCCCCCTGCCACCGAAGTGCATTCGCTCCGCGAAACGGACCAAAAACCACTGCTTCCCCCATCTCTGTCGGCTGAACTTTGCCCAGGCGTTGGCTTCTTCGGGCCGGGACCACGTGATTCCGATGAAAGCTCCAAGGGTAAATTTCGGCGCTCAAACACATGCCCTCCAGTCCGCCCCGTTGCCAAACGGTACAATGGGAGGACAGGGCACAGGGCAAAGGAAAAGCGAAGATCATCCATCACTCTCCCGGACCTCACACAGCAAAGCCACTCCGCATGGCGCGCCGTGCAGAGCGCCTTTTTTGCCACCGCCCGTGCACAAGGCCATTTGGCCCAAAAGGCGTCAGAGGTCGGAGTGCCGGGCGCAGGCTCCTCGAGGCGAATCTTAGCGAATGGCCTTATGGGGGTGTCCGAAATCCCAAACAGAGGGGGAAATCAAAGGAAAGTGACAGGCCGCAGCAGTGCGGGGTGTTTGGTTGGTTTGCTTCAGGCGCACTCTTTCGCCTTGTTTTCTTTTCTTCTTTTTTTTGGCCCCAAGCAGCTACCTTCGAGACTCCCGCACACCCATTCCCAACATTCAGTGCTTTGCAGACCTCCTTTTGCCAGCCAAAGTGTCCAACTGTACACGACGCTTTGGCCAACGTCACCTCACGCGCGGCCGCAAAGGGAGCTTTGTCCAAGGCTAGCGCTGGAAGACTGAGGCAGGGTAGGTGGAGACCACATTCCTCAGAGTGGCTAGGAATGACCTAGTCTCTGTTCCCTCAAATCCACAAAAAATAAAAGTCACATACATATATATATATATATATATGCACAGGTGGCCTTTTGGGAAAATAGATGGCCCTGGTACATGGAATAAACCCCACCTAAACCAGTGGAACCCATCTATGTTTAATCAAACTTCCCTGACAAGGACACCTATGCATATATACATATATATATATATATATATTCACGCGTGTACATCGCGCAGGAAGGCGCCCAGCACAAATTATTTGTTGGGACCTTCCGTCCTGAAAAATGTCTCGAGCATAAACTCATGTCCCTCAGTCCCTCCCGCCCAAGTCTAGCCAAAACATCTGTGTTGTTTTTGTAGAGCCCGGATGGCGGTGAGCTTCACAGCGAAAGCATGGGAAGAGGTAGCTTCTGCGGAATCTTCAAGGGGCAGAAGGTCTGAGAGAAAGTCGGAAAGTGAGGCGCTCAAAACACCTGCAAGCCCGCCCTTGCCTGGACTGCAACTCGTTCGGGTTCCTTTGGTCCTCCTTTGCGATGAACAAATGCAATTTTTAGTTGAACGCCTTAGCCACGGCTTTCAGCGCAAAGCTGCGTGTCAACGGAGCAAGGCCCTAGAGTTGATTCCTGAAACGCAACCAGCGCTTGTCGCTTCCTGCCCGCCACACTTTCTGCGGAACAACCGCCTTGCAACGTTGGCCCCATGACCCCAAGAGCCAACTAGAGAGGGAGTGGACGAACTCTAACAGAAGCGAGGCTGTTTGGGCCATGCGTGAGTGATACGAATGAGCTCCCCCGAGTCCGGACAAAAACAAGTCTTAAAATGTCACCCGATGCACTGGCTTCTGCTTGATCCCAAGACACAAGGCCTTTGACACGTCCACTTGCCAAGCCTCATGCATGGAAGCCCAGGAAACCAAGCAATGCCTAACAAATGAAGATGGGTTTGGAGGGAAGGACAGGTTACACGTAAGAAAGAGAAGGCCTGCATCTCCCTTCATTTGGTCGCAATAATCTGTACTTTGCAATGCAATCCTTAAATAATCGATGATGACTCGCTGTTGGCCCAGTCTTAGGAATTAACTGAAGGGATGCTTCTCTCCAATCAACCCAACTCACCGCAAAGGAACGGACGTTTGGAAAAGAGAGAATGGGGCTTCTTCTTTCTCTGGTATGCCTGTCCCAGAAAACCACATGAAGCAGAAATGAAGAGATGAAGAGATTGGGAGAGCGGACCAATGACTCTCTCCATCTCTCCAAGCGAGGGGGGGCTTTCCAGACGGCTGAAGCCAGGATCTAAAATGGCGCGAGCCACACTGGATGGGGCAAATGTAGCCGCGACACCACAGAGCTCTTTGAAGGGAAACCATGCATATATATATATACATGTATATATACATGTCTACACATCATATATACACACACATCATATATACACATCATATATACACATCAAATATATATATATATATATATGTATGTATGTATATAATATGCTAAATTTGTTTGAACGGCTATGGTAAAAGCATTTCTTAAGACACGTCTCATGAAAACAAAGAGCCGACCGGCACCTGCACTCCGAGAGGCTGCCACACACGATCCAGCTCCTTCGCGGCCTGACCGCCGCGGCATAAGTGACCCGCAGGCCAACTTCTGGGGCCGGCGGCCGCGACCAGCCGTAAGGATGGGGAATTTTTGCGCCGAGCGCGGGGTATTTGCTGGTGGTTTAAAGGGACACCAAAAGGAAAACCAACGCAAATCCGTGTTGCGCTTTTCCTTTGTGGTTTCCCCTTTCAACCCCAGGAAACATACCAACTCCGATCAAACATACCTCCAGCTGAGTTTTCAAAATAGGAATTGGTCCCTTTCCTCAAACCGTCTTTTGGCTTCATGTTCGGCTTTCCACAAGCAACCAAAAACATATAAAAAGGTGGCGGGGCGGCTCCCCCTCCCCAATGTCCGGAACCCACCCGTCCAGGCAAACCCGTATTGAAAGACCCACAGTAAAGTGTGTGGGGGGAAACCCCCCCCATTTCCCCCCATCCCCCCATCCCCACCCATCCCCCCCCCAGCCCACCCCATCCCCCCCCCCATCCCCCCATGCCCCCCATCCCCCCATCCCCCCATCCCCCCATCCCCCCCATCACCTACCAAAGGGCATGCCCCAGTTCAGATAAAATCCCCTCAGTCAACCACTTCAACCATATTAACCAACAGGGGCACGCCACCTCAGCCAATTTTACCACCTAAATCCCAAAATCCCAAATTCCCAAAATATATTTTCCCAAAATCCCAAAATATAACATCCCCATAATTTCAAAACATAAATCTTACAATGTTTTTTTATTGTAAGGTTTATGGTGTAATTTATAATTTAAGTTCAGGATAATAATTTAATTGACAAATCTCATTTATTTCATACATCATTTTAAAAATAGTATTAATATCTCTCACTGTGTTTTTAACATTAAACTTTTTATAAATTTCAATATAAAACTTGATATATTCTTTAATATCATCTCCTTTCTTTTGACTATGACACAACATCCTTAATATATCATAAATCATTTCATATTTTTCTTACTGATTTTAAGAAACTGTTTAACATAAACGTAAGGTGGTAATTTATACACAGTTAAAAATATCAAAATGTCATCTTCTACATTTCTATTATGTCTTCCTTTTAATCTCAACAAACATTTGATTATAGCTTGGTTATCTCTCCAGGTTTTACAATTTCTCACATAAATCTTCTTCACCCAAAGCATAATCAATAATATTATTTATTATTCCATTAGGTAAATTTAATTTATACAATTCCATATTTTCTTTTTTAAAGTGGCAACAGTCATAGCATTTCTTATTAATATACTTATTGATTTCAATACCGTTCATTTCTTCACTATTAATATAAGGTGTTTTTTCTTTAGGACTATTTCGCCTAAAACTAAATTATTAATTTAATTCTTTCTATTATTTTGTCACATGTTGTTTCATTATAAAAATTATTTTTTATTTGTTTTCTAAACATTCCCATTATTCCAATCGCACGTTTTATTGTATATCTAAGTTCGTGAGTTTTATACTCATCATTTAAAAACTCATTTAAAAAATCAAACAATACAACATTTTTTAAACGTTTAATATTAAAAGACATATTGTATAATTGTTTTACAATACTATAATACTTAAAAATAAAATCATTATTATATCCTTCGTCGTTACATTCCAATAAATTATCAAATCCTTCTATAGTTAAGAAATTATTCATTTCAATAAATACAAATATTTCTAAATCATCATCAATAGTTTCATTATTTATAATATCAATATCCTTGTTATTCATATCATCAATTTTTTTATAATTCTATTGCAATTATTGCATATTATATATTGACAAATATTATTACAAACACCATTTGCAAAACCCCGTTCAATTGGTAATTTGAGCATTTCACAGTCATCACATTTATAACTCATAAGTTTGTCTTTCAATATATTTTTAGCATTGATACCGACTGTATCACTCATTTTACTATAATATATTAAGTTATTATTTCTTCAAGTCATTTTGAAATCATAAATCTTACAATGTTTTTTTTATTGTAAGGTTTATGGATTAAAATAATGGTCAGGCAATATGTCTTCAAATATGTAATCTACATATTTATCTATATCACCAATGTATATATATTTGATATTGTTTTTCCTATTATTGAATAAATATATTCCCAAAAGAATAAATACAACAATAGACATACTTTATATTTAGTGTTGTAGTAATACCATATACTATATTTAGTTGCTCTAAATTCGTTCAAGACTTCGTTTATTTTATCTTTGTCTAATAAATGCCAGTCAATCCATTCAAACAAATAACGGTATTTTTTGACAAATGCTTTATATGGTTTAATTGCGTTTATTCCTCCAAACCTCCTAATTAAATCTATATTACTAAAGAATTCATCAATTTCATTTTCATATGACTTTCTGGAAATCTTCTGGTAAAAGTGTATAGGAAATCTTGCTTGGTGTCGCATAAAGAATTTTAACTGTAATTGAAACTTTGTATATCCCTTGTCCTTATGTTCTTCAAGAAAAAACTTTTCAAGGTCTCTTGTTATACAGCATTGATTGCAGTATACATTATATTCACTTATTTTATTACATAGATTAGCAGGTAATAACTTATACAATGTTATATTAACATCATTCCTTTTAGTTGTACAACATTCGCAATTTGAATAATTAAATAACATTTCACTAATAATATAAGGCGTTTTTTCTTTAACTGTATTTCGTTTAATATTAAACTTTCAATAATTCGTGTCTCAAATAAGGACTAGTTTTTCCTTCCAAATGAAAGTAAGATTGCCCTAATTTACTATCAATTGATTTTACTTTAAATACTTCTTTTAACCAATGACTGGTATGTGCCTTTTCGCTTATGCCTTTCTTCCTCATTATTTTTACATTACTACCCACTGACAACTCAGGGTATTTTCTAGTATTTCTTGCTTGCATTGTAATATTCATTTTTACTTCAAATTCATTCTTTTTCATTCTTGCGTCCTTCGGTGTAAATTTAGTTGCGGAATGAATATTCTTATTATTGTAAGTTAATAATATTTCAAAAATATAATCCGTCCATTGGATATTCTGCTTTCCATTTTTCTTGTCCGCTTCAACTCGTTTAAACAGTTGATCTTTAAAAGTCTGAATTCCACGCTCCGCAAATGCTGGATGACCTCTAGTTCTATGTAATTCAATTTTCTCCTCCTTCAAATAATCTAATACTGATTGATTAAAAAAACTGCCTTCCTCGTCGGTATAAATTAATTTCGGTTTGCCACCCATCTTATTGATATTCTCCATCATTCCTGCTAAAATGTCTGGCGGTGTCTTGGATTTAATTGGCACGATATGCATATATTTGCTAAATATATCAATGCATATCATACCAATTTTAAATGTTTGATTTTCCAAATCATTTTTAGAAATGAAAAACATATCAACTTGAAATTCCCAGAAACTATGCGGAGCAATAAAACTATTTTCACCTCTCATCTTTCTTTTTTCTTCTACATTTTTACTAAAGAATTCATTAATATCGTTAATTGTAATACTACTATCTTTTTGCTTAGCATCCTTGAGGGTTGTTTGTTTTGAACCATAACCGCTTCTATCATAATATACACTCTTAATAATTTCTTGTGTTGAACTCATTAATTAAGTTAATAAAATAATTTTGAAAAACTCATTTTCAAAATTATTCATGACGCGCTGCAATTGCAATAGACACAAAAGGCGGTGCAGTTTTCAACTGTGTGGCATAACTCATTATCACAACGTTGAGCAGTGAAGTTAGAACTTATCTTTCCTCCTCTTGTATCTAGATTAAATTTAATTCCGCAGTTTTGGCAACAGGATTTGAAGTATTTTAAGCACCAGTTTTCGTCAATGTATTGCTCTTCGTCTATTTCTCTTTTTGCTACTCTATCTTGCTGTTTATATCCTTCAACTTTGTTTTTAAAATAGTTGATTACCAAACTCTTAAACATATCTTCATCTCCCTCTTTGTTCTTGTAAAAATAGACATTGTTAAAATCCCTCGCTCGTGTGATACTCGTCCACAACCATTCCCTACAAACTAAATAATCTTTGTTCCATTCGTGAATGGTCATATTATCACTGATTGATGTCCCCTGTCTGCTATGAGTGGTAGCACAGTAGGCATATCTAAAATGCTTATCTACAATATCAATGTCAAGTGTTCTAATGTTCTCTGCATCCTTGATATCTTGTATTGTTATCTTGTATCCTTCGTTATTAACAACCTTCCACCTAATATTAACATTCAGTTTTCCTTCCTTGTCCTTTTTGTAAAGTCTGCATATTAAGATTTCTCCAATTTCATATTTGCATGTTTTACCTAATCTTTTTCTAATCTCATTGGATACTGCCTCACATCTAATATTTGTATATGCTATGTTGTTTTCACTATTCATAACATCTTTAGTAAATTTGAAATGCTTAACTATCCATTCTTCAACTGCCATCTTTTTAATCCAAAAGTCATCATAGATTTCATTCAGTTTCTTTCTGTTTCTTTCTCCTTCTTCTGTATCCTTACCACCTACTCGCTTACATATCTTTAAAAATATATTATATTTAAAAATAATGTCAATACATTTGTCAATGTATTCGCCTGCGTTTTGAGTATTAGTGAAAGGTTCAATCGGTGGCAGTTGCTTGACATCACCGGCACCTATAATTACGATGTCAGGATTGTTATTTGCAAACACCCTTATTTTGTTCAATATGTAAGGACTGGACATATAAATCTCATCAAACACTATACAATCAAAATCTGAATAATCAAACTTTGGTAGGTCATCCCCTTTATCAACTGGAATACTAAAGAATGTATTTACTGTCACCGCTTCGCATTCAATCTCTTGTTTCAACATATTTTGAGGCACTACAAAAAGTGTATTGTGTCCTAAATTTTCCATATACTTGCCTATAAAACTTTTACCGCTCCCAGCAAATTTTGCTCTAATCATAACTCTTCTTTTTTCAATAATCTTATTACAGATGCTTTCAACATCCCACT